ATATCCCGTCATGTTATTAATTTAACGTCATGTTTAGTTTCGGAATACTTATTTTATTCAGCGTTATTGTTCGGAATTATTTATTCAAGTTAAGGATGTTTTAATTAATTTTCAAATATCACAATTATGTTCGGAATAATTTCTCGACAATCAAATCAGTTTTAATCGCTCGATAAATATTTTACCGAGCTTAATCATGTTTAATCAAGGTCTTAATTACCTTGCATTATCAATAAATCATGATAATTATGTTAAACCTAGTCTAATCAAGGGTATTGCACGTTCAAGTATATCATAAGCGTGGCATTAGCACGCATGCACTTAACCGCACCTAAGCACGCACTTAGCACGCGTTAAGTCGTGCTTAGTACATCTAATGGCCGAGAAAGAAAGTCTCCCAACACAAGTGAACTGTCATCATGACTTAGGACACATGTGAGTTGGAGAGGAAGTGAAGTGGTGACTAGGCAAAGACAAGGGTGAGTAAGCATCCTAGTGCCACTCTTTTGCATTGAGCACGCGACACATGGCACGCGGCCATTGGCTGAGGTTTTCTCTTCAATTTTCACCATATTCATTGTGCTATTTAATCAGCTATTGAGGGGAAAATACAACTTATTTACTAAGCTAAATACTCAGCAAACCTTAAGCTAAATTAAGATAGAACACACACGCACAAGGCAAGCCACACCCACACACACGCGGAGCCGAAGAATCATACCCGTTCTCGTGAATTTCACCAGGCACTTGGGAAGGTAACTTCGTCCTCAACATCCTTCTGTGTTAGTGAGTTCATGTTAGTGTTAATTGTTCAGATTATGTCAAGATAATTCATAGATATGCAATGATATGCTCGGTATAAGCCATTTTAGGTCATAACCGAGTAAAGTTCATTTTTAACCGGCAACTCCTAAACAATTCATGTTTATTTAATCATTTTATCTCAATTTAGACTCAGTTACTTCATGTTGGTGGAGACAAGTTGAAGATTTATTTATGAATTGGCCTAAAACCGTCGGCAGCGCACGCCGTGCACGCCTACGGACCATGACCGGCCTTGTCATGTTATCTTCTGTTATGATCGAGTTTTGTCCATGTAATTCATGTCCTAATAGCTTTAAAATGGTATATTAAGTTTAAAATCTTAATATTGTTCGGTGAAGTTTCATGTTTAGTCGAGGTATAGGCTTAACACCGAGTCCGTGTGCATGGTGCGCACACCTCGATGAAAGTCGAGTCCTTTGATCGAAATTCAGTAAGTTTAAGAAAGGCCAGCATGTATGATCATGTCATGTTAAATTTCCCTGAATTATGTTGATATTGACGGAGAAGGTCGCCGGACGGCCGACGAGGGTCAGTCGTACTTGCCCTGTCCGCACATAGCGGCTGCAGCGTACCGGCGGGTGTGCGGGTACGAAGGTGATGTGCGGTAGTGATGAAGACCGTGTGTCCCGACTGTCGACAAGCCGCTCCCGCGCCTTAAATCGCTCGATAGGTGTTAGAAAGTCGCACACTCGCAGCCTTTCTAACGAATAAAATTGCAAAAGAATTCAAGAAGAAAACTAGAGCAAAGTGTTTGAACAAAAGTTCAGATTTTTGTATTGATTTCTGAATGAATAAATTAACAAGAGGAAGGGCCTTTATATAGGCATCAACTAGATCTAGTCCTAATATAACTATAACTCTAATAAAGCAATAAAATATTTAAGTATCCTAAACAAACTAGAAAACAAGGAAATAAAATATTAATCAAGCTATTTAATTTATTTCTTGCTTGCGCCTCAAGCTGCCTTCCCAGCGTCCGCGTTGCCTAATCGCCCAAGGACTATGACTTCATGTTCCATTCCCGTGCACGCGTCCAGCAGCTCGCCTAATCCTTGCGTGCCTAGGCAAGTTCGCGCGTGTACCCCGTCGCCTACGCGTTCAACCCCGCGCTCGTCCCCGACAGTATCATGCGCGTGCCCGTCCGCGTATCGCGCCTCTCCGGCACGGCGACTTAATCTCCTTCGCGCATGCCACGCGCGACTTGCTGCGTTCTTAAGTCTTCTCGCCGTGTCCGCATCATTCCTGTCCCCTTCAAGTGCTTCCTTGTCCTCAAGGAAGAAATTAGGGAACATCTCGCGCATCTCGTCGCAACTTTGCCATGTCGCTTCTTCACTCGGCAAGTCCTCCCATTCGACGAGCAGCTCCCAAAAATATTTTCCAGCCTTTTTGACTTGTCGGTATTCCATCGCGCGGCTTGGCCGCACCATAACCTGCCCGTCCGGCGCGACCGCGGGTAGTCGGTCCTTCGCCGTATGCGCCTCGCCGAGTCGTTGCTTGAGCTGTGAGACGTGTACGACCGGATGGATATGAGAATCGTCCGACAACTCAAGTCGATAAGCAACTTTTCCAACCTTGGCCAAAATTTTATAAGGCCCGTAATATCGAACTCCGAGCTTGGTCGCGGCCCTTTGCGCGGCCGTCCTTTGCTGATATGGCCTCAACTTCAAATACACCCAGTCCCCGAGCTCGAAATCCACGTCACGCCGCTTGCCATCATGGTACGCCTTCATCCTATTGATCGAGCCTTCCAACATCCGCTTTAGCTTGCGCAACATCAAGTCACGCTCGACCAACTCTCGATCGACCTCATCGTTCACGGCGCTTCCCATCGAGTAACTCACGATCGTCGGCGGTTTGCGCCCGTACACCAACTCGAACGGCGTTGCTTTAGTCGAGCTATGGTAAGTGGTATTATACCAATACTCGGCCCAAGGTAAATAATTCTCCCATCGCTTTGGAAATTGATGCACATAGCACCTAAGGTACTGCTCGAGCGTGCGATTGGTCACCTCTGTCTGTTCGTCGGTTTGCGGATGATAAGCTGAGCTCATGCTTAGCTCGGTTCCCTGCAATCTAAAGAACTCCGACCAAAAGCTACTCATTAATATCCGATCTCGGTCGGACACAACTGACCGCGGCACCCCATGCAATTTCATCACATATTCGACAAATAATTTTGCTATAGACTTAGCCGTGTATGGATGAGTAAGTGGAATAAAATGTGCATACTTGGTAAGACGGTCGACTACCACCATGACTCTGTTGAACCCATTTGAGAGTGGCAACCCCTCGATAAAATCCATGGTGATGTCCTCCCAAATACGTCCAGGGACCGGCAAAGGTTGGAGCAGTCTGCCTGGTCGACGTGCGTCCGCCTTAGTGCGTTGGCACTCATCACATCGCCCAACGTAATCACGCACATCGCCCCTCATCCCTGGCCAATAAAAAGTGCTCACAATCCTCATCCATGTCCGGAACACCCTGGAATGTCCTCCAAACTTTGAGTCGTGGAAGTACCGGATGATTTCTTCGTGCAACGATCCCGCATCGGGCACGACGACTCGACCATGATAAAGGAGCAAGCCATCGTGCATGTCATGGTCCTCGTCCTCATCATGTCCTACGTTCAGCTTCTCGATCACATCTCGGCAATGTGCATCCTCGTCTTGCGCTTTCCGAATCTCGGCCCACGTTGGCCCCGTCACGGCGTCGAGCTCGGCCACGTCCTCCCGTCGAGACAATGCGTCGGCCACGGTGTTCTGGCGACCGGGCCGATACACTATCTCAAAGTCGAACCCCATCAATTTGGATATGAACTTCTGCTGCTCGGGCGTCACGATCATTTGCTCGAGCAAGTGCTTGAGCGGCTGCTGGTCCGTGACAATCCGAAAGCGTCGCCCAAGCAAGTACGGCCTCCATACGCGCACGGCCTCGACCACAGCTAGCATCTCTTTTACGTATGCGGACAACCCTAAGCGCGCCGGCCCGAAAGCCTTGCTGAGATAAGCCAAGGGTCATCCTTCCTGTACTAGAACCGCTCCGATTCCAATGTCGCTCGCATCCGAGTGGATCTCGAACAACACATCAAACATTGGCCTCGCGAGCACGGGTTTGGTCGTCATGGCCTTCTTTAGTTCCTCGAAAGCCTTTTCGCTCGCCTCTGTCTACTTGAATGCTCCCTTCTTCATCATCTCCGTAAGTGGTTTCGCGATGGTCCCATAGTCCCTCACGAATTTTCGATAATAGCCACTGAGACCAAGGAACCCTCGCAACTGCGTCAAGCTTTTGGGTTTCGGCCATCCCACCATCGCCTCGATTTTCCTTGGATCCACCTTAACGCCATCATGAGAAATAAAGTGCCCGAGGTACTCGACCACTTCTTGAGCAAACGAGCACTTGGACGGTTTGATGTAGAATGAGTTAGCCTCCAAAATCCCCAAGACAATTCACAAGTGCTCGAGATGATCCGCCCATGTTTTCGAGTACACCAAAATGTCATCAAAGAATACTAATACAAACTTACGTAGGTACTTCTTAAAAATTAAGTTCATGGCAAACTGAAAGGTTGATGGTGCATTGCACAACCCGAAAGGCATCACGAGATATTCGTAGTGCCCTTGGTGCGTGCGAAAAGCCGTCTTGGGCACATCCTCCTTGGCCAATCAGATCTGATGGTGGCCTGCGCGTAGGTCGAGTTTTGAGAAGTAACGCGCGCCACCCAACTCATCCAGCATGTCGTCGACACTTGGAATGGGAAAACGATCCTTCACGGTAGCCGCATTGAGAGCGCGGTAGTCCGTGCAAAACCTCCAAGTTCCATCCTTCTTCTTTGCGAGCAACACCGGTGACGAGAATGGACTCAAGCTATGCTGGATGAGCCCAGACTCGAGCATCTCGCCCACCTGTTGCTGGATCTCCGTCTTTTGGAAGTGTGCGTATCGATACGGATGTACGTGTACTGATCGACCTTCCTCGACCAAAGGTATACGGTGGTCGAACTCTCGGTGTGGCGGCAGTCCCTTGGGCTCGTCGAGGACCTGGTCGAACTCCTCGAGCAAGTTACGCACCTCGCGCTGCCTCTCCTCGACCACCTGGTCGAACTCTTTGAGCACCTCCGCATCTTTACCCGTCTGCTCGACCACGACAGCGTACAACTGTCCACCACCTCGCCACACATTCTCGATGTTTTTTAGATCGACCTCCTTGGTTGCCCCTTCACTAGCTTTCAAGGTAACGAGCTGATCACCGGCCTCGAACTTCATCACACCTTTTCGGTAATTAGTCGTCACATCTCCTAGTCCCTCGAGCCACTGCACCCCAAGCAACACATCCGGTCCCACCAATGGTAAGGCGAACAAATCCGCCTTCACCGTCACTCCTTGAAACTTGGTCGGCACGCCCCAATACATCTCCGAGCACCGCAAGCGCTCGCCATTCGCCACCCTAACCTCGAACGGCTCAATTGTGGTCGTGGGCAACTTGAGTTTGTGCGAGGGAGTCGCATTAATGAAATTGTGCGATGATCCATTGTCCACGAGTACCGTAACCCGCCGATCCCTCAACCACGCCGGTAACTTCATAGTCCTCGGCCTTTTAGTGCCCGCCATCGCATGGACTGAGATCTCGGCGTCATCATTGAGCACCTCGACCTCCATCTCCCGTTCTTCCTCGATCACCGGCTCCTCGTCATCCAGGTCCACGAACTCGATCAAGAAATTCTGCTTGCACCGATGTCCCGGCGTGTACTTTTCCTCGCACCGGAAACACAGCCCCTTTTCACGTCTCTGCGCCATATCATCCTCCGTCAACCTCTTCACCTAGGTTTCCGGTGGCCTAAAGGTACCCGGTGGCCTCGCGTTCGCACTAGGTGCACCCACGGTCGCCGGCACACGTCGCGGCTCCGGGACTCGAAAGTCCGCCCGCCCCCTTCGAGTCACGGCCAAGTGATCCTCCCGTCTCCTAGCAACTTCCATGGCCTTATGCATGGTCTCCGGTCTCTCCAATCGCACTTCAGCCGCGAGATCATACCTAAGCCCTCCAACAAACGCGTCAACAAGCGCGCTTTCCGGCCACCCGCGGACCCGGCACGCCAATCTCTTGAAATCTTTTTGGTAGTCACGTACACTCCCCGTCTGCCGGATCCGAGTCAGCGCCTCGTCGTGGTTGTGGTTGTCCGAGTTCCCAAGACGCGTAAGGAGCTCGCGTTCAAAATCTTCCCAATGGATTGGTTGTTGCCGCCCACGATACACGTGCGTGAGCCACTTCCACCACACGTTGGCCTCACCGTCTAAATAGTACGCGGCATACCGAACCCAGTCTCGTTGTGGCATCTCGTTTAGATCGAAGAACTGTACCGCCCTGTTCAGCCAAGCGTCTGGATTGATTCCCGTGAACGTCGAGAGCACAAGCCTCGGCTTCTCGATGTGTGGTCGCTCATGAACGTTCGACGCCTGGGACCGCTGCTCGTACTCTTCCTCCTCGTCGGGGTGGTGTTCAGCCCGCTGCTGCTCCTGTTGTCTCAAACGCTCGCGTGCATTCATTCGTGGTGGCTCCTGCTGCTGCTGTCGCTGGAACCCGCGCAACACCTCCTCCAGGCGCTGCTCGAGATGAGCCACATTAGCATTGGTGGTGGTCTGTCCTTCATCGAGCGAACCAAATCGGCCCTCCATGCTTTCGCTTATGGCCCTGAACTGGCCCTCCAATCCTTCGACTCTCTCTTTCAACTCTCGATTGGCCATATCTTTTCTCGCTTGCCTACGTTCTCGACTTCCTGGACTAATTTTGATTTTTTTTTTAAACGAACGAAAATTACGAAAGAAAAATTAAAAGAGAATGGGGAAGGAAAGACACTTGATCGACTCTCTCAATGAAAGCACCAATGATGAAGACCGTGTGTCCCGACTGTCGACAAGCCGCTCCCGCGCCTTAAATCGCTCGATAGGTGTTAGGAAGTCGCACACTCGCGTCCTTTCTAACGAATAAAATTGCAAAAGAATTCAAGAAGAAAACTAGAGCAAAGTGTTTGAACAAAAGTTCAGATTTTTGTATTGATTTCTGAATGAATAAATTAACAAGAGGAAGGGCCTTAATATAGGCATCAACTAGATCTAGTCCTAATATAACTATAACTCTAATAAAGCAATAAAATATTTAAGTATCCTAAACAAACTAGAAAACAAGGAAATAAAATATTAATCAAGCTATTTAATTTATTTCTTGCTTGCGCCCCAAGCTGCCTTGCCCCCGTCCGCGTTGCCTAATCGCCCAAGGACTATGACTTCATGTTCCATTCCCGCGCACGCGTCCAGCAGCTCGCCTAATCCTTGCGTGCCTAGGAAAGTTCGCGCGTGTACCCCGTCGTCTACGCGTTCAACCCCGCGCTCGTCCCCGGCAGTATCGCGCGCGTGCTCGTCCGCGTATCGCGCCTCGCCGGCACGACGACTTAATCTCCTTCGCGCATGCCACGCGCGACTCGCTGCGTTCTTAAGTCTTCTCGCCGTGTCCGCATCAGGTAGGCGCCGCGTGAGATCAGTAACCGTAGCAGGTAACTGTTGGCGATGCGCGTGCGCATGCCAACACCCAGTCGTGCACGCCAGCATGCGGTAACGCACGCCAGCGCGCAATGCCATGCGTCAGTGGCCCCGGCATCGCCCAGCGGGCCGCTCGAGTAGCTAGCGTCGCGGGTGTCACCCAGTAGCGGCCGCGCAGTGCCAGTCATGTCCAGCCATCGCCTGTATGTGCGCTCATGCGTTCAGGTACTTGATACGAAAGTGGGTTTTGAGCCCCAATGACAAGAAGGGCCAAGAACCGAGACAACCCGATGGCGCCGAAAAAAGAGCCAAAACAACACATGCATGGCCTAAACGACGAGTACGAGCTCGTATGAAAGACGCACAAGCACGCGAGAAGATGGTCTCAAGGCTAGCAATGCTCACACGCACGAAGAGGTGCGTTAAGCAAGGGCGCGCTGATGAAGACCGTTTGTCTCGATTGCTGACAAGCCGCTCTCCGCGCCTTAAATCGTTCGATAGGTGTAAGTAAGTCGCACACTCGCAGCCTTTCTAACGATTATAATTGCAAAAGAATTCAAGAAGAAAACTAGAGCAAAGAGTTTGAACAAAAGTTCAGGTTTTTTGTATTGATTTCTGAATAATTAAATTAACAAGAGGAAGAGCCTTTATATAGGCATCAACTATATCTAATCCTAATATAAACTATAACTCTAATAAAGCAATAAAATATTAAGTGTCCTACACAAACTAGAAAACAAGGAAATAAAATAGTAACCAAACTATCTAGAATATTTTTTGCTTGCGTCGCCGCCCTGCCCTGCGTCCGCGTTGCCTAATCGCCCAAGGACTAGGGCTTCACCTTCCATTCCGTGCACGCATCCAGCAGCTCGCCTAATCCTCGTGCACCTAGGTAAGTATGCGCGTGCACCTCATTGCTTGCGCGTTCAAACCCGTGTTCGTCCCCGATAGTATCGCGCGCGTCGTCTCCCATGCGCGCGCGTCTGTCCGTATATCGCACCTCACCGGCACGGCGACTTAACCTCCTTCGCGCATGCCATGGGCGACTTGCTGCATTCTTGAGCCTTCTCGTCGTGTCCGCATCATTCCCGTCCTCTTCAAGTGCTTCCTTGTCCTCAAGGAAGAAATCGGGGAACATCTCGCGCATCTCGTTCCAACTTTGCCACGTCGCTTCCTCACTCGGCAAGTCTTCCCATTCGACAAGCACCTCCCAAAAATATTTTCCAGCCTTTTTGACTTGCCGGTACTCCATCGCATGGCTCGGCCGCACCATAACCTGCCCGTCCGGCGCGATCGCGGGTAGTCGATCCTTTGCTACGTGCGTCTCGTTGAGTCGTTGCTTGAGTTGTGAGACATGTATAACCGGATCAATATGGGAATCTTCCGGCAACTCAAGTCGATAAGCAACATTCCCAACCTTGGCCAAAATTTTATAAGGCCCGTAATATCAAACTTCGAGCTTGGTCGCGGCCCTTTGCGCGGCCGTCCTTTGCCGAAACGGCCTCAACTTTAAGTATACCATGTCCCCAGGTTCGATCTCCACGTCGCGCCTCTTGCCATCATGGTACGCCTTCATCCTATTGATCAGGCCCTCCAACGTCTGCTTTAGTTTGCGCAACATCAATTCGCGCTCGACCAACTCTCGTTCGACCTCATCGTTCACAGCGCTCCCCATCGAGTAACTCACGATCGTCGGCGGTTTGCGCCAGTACACCAACTCGAACGGCGTTGCTTTAGTCAAGCTATGGTAAGTGGTGTTATACTAGTACTCGGCCCAAGGTAAATAATCCTCCCACCGCTTTGGAAACTCATGCACATAACACCTAAGGTACTGCTCGAGCGTGCGATTGGTCACCTCTGTCTGTCCGTCAGTTTGTGGATGATAAGCCGAGCTCATACTTAGCTTGGTTCCCTGCAATTTAAAGAACTCTGACCAAAAACTACTCATAAATATCCGATCCCGATCGGACACAATCGACCTCGGTACCCCATGCAACTTCATCACATATTCAACAAACAATTTTGCTATAGACTTAGCCGTGTAGGGATGAGTAAGTGGAATAAAATGCGCATACTTGGTAAGGCGGTCGACTACCACCATAACTCCATTGAACCCATTCGAGCGTGGCAACCCTTCGATACAATCCATGGTGATGTCCTCCCAAATCCGTGCGGGAACCGCCTGGTCGACGCGCGTCCGCCTTAGTTCGTTGGCACTCATCACATCGCCCAACGTAGTCGCGCACACCACCCCTCAGCCCCGGCCAATAAAAAGTGCTTGCAATTCTCATCCATGTCCGGAAAACCCCTGAGTGCCCTCCAAACTTCGAGTCGTGGAAGTGTCGGATGATGTCCTCGCGCAACGATCCCGCCTCGAGCACAACGACTCGCCCATGATAAAGGAGCAAGCCATCGTGCATGTCATGGTCCTCGTCCTCGTCGTGTCCCACGTTCAGCTTCTCGATCACATCCCAGCAATGTGCATCCTCGTCTTGTGCCTTCTGAAGCTCGGCCCAAATGGCCCACGTCGGTCCCGTCACTGCGTCGAGCTCGGCCACGTCTTCCCAGCGAGACAATGCATCGGCCACGGTGTTCTGGCGACCGGGCCGATATACTATCTTGAAGTCAAACCCCATCAATTTGGACACCAACTTCTGCTGCTCGGGCGTCACGATCCTTTGCTCGAGCAAGTGCTTGAGCGGTTGCTGGTCCGTGACAATCCGAAAGCGTCGTCCAAGCAAGTACGGCCTCCACACGCGCACGGCCTCGACCACGTCCAGCATCTCCTTTACGTACGCAGACATCCCTAAACGCGCCGGCTCGAGAGCCTTGCTGAGATATGCCAAGGGTCGTCCTTCCTGCACTAGAACCGCCCCGATCCTAATGTCGCTCGCATCTGAGTGAATCTCGAACAACACATCAAACCTCGGCATTGCGAGCACGGGTGTGGTCATCATGGCTCTTTCAGCTCCTCGAAAGCCTTCTCGCTCGCCTCTGTCCACTTGAATGCTCCTTTCTTTGTCATCTCTGTGAGTGGCTTCGCGATGGTCCCATAGTCTTTTACGAATTTTCGATAGTAGCCCGTGAGACCAAGGAACCATCTCAACTGCGTCAAGCTTGTGGGTTTCGGCCATCCCACCATCGCTTCAATCTTCCTTGGATCCACCTTTACACCATCATGAGAAATAAAGTGCCCAAGGTACTCGACCACCTCT